CTGGGGGAGGGTAGGGTTACTGCTGGGGAGGGTAGGGGTTACTGCTGGGTAGGGGTTACTGCTGGGGAGGGTAGGGGTTACTGCTGGGGAGGGTAGGGGTTACTGCTGGGGGGGTATGGGTGCTGTGTCAGTATACCCCCCCTCCTTCTTACCTTTAATGAAGTAGGGAGGGGGACACACAGCGATCCCTGGTGGTCCGGTGGTGGTAAGCACTGCAGGGGGAGGGCTCCAGGAAGCAGCTCCCCTGTCCTCTCGCGCAATGCTGTGTGGAGCGTTGCCATGGTAACGCGCGGCAACGCTCCACACAGCATCGCGCGGGAGGACAGGGGAGCTGCTTCCTAGAGCCCTCCCCCTGCCTCCCGACCCGGAAGCAGAGTAGGCGCCTGCCGTTTCGGGCAGACAGGCGCCTACTCTGCATTGATGGCGGACCTGTGGCCGCGTGCCCACAGAAAGGGCCCGGCGTGCCATAGGTTCGCCATCACTGATCTATGCTATTAAATTACACATATTTCAGTTGTAACTTGTTATCATTAATTAGTAACGTGTATCACAATAACTTTTAAACCCTTTCAGTAACAGAAATTCCTGTAACATTAAACCACCACCTTACACCCATTATATGCTGTCTGCGTTTTATTACCATAAAAAGGGTGCGTTATCTGTCTCTAACTGCATTTCAGGTTTTGTCTTCATAGTCTTCAAATTTAAAGGGACACTATATGCACCAAAACAACTTTAGCTTAATAAAGCGGTTATGGTGTATAGATCACACTCCTGCAGTCTAACAGTTCAATTCTCTGCCATTTAGAAGTTAAATCACTTTGTTAATTTAGTCCTAGTCACACCTCCTTGCTTGTGATTTGCACAGCCTCCTAAACACATTTTGTAAATTAAAGTAGATATCCTAGGTTCCTGTATTGCACAGTCTGTTTGGTCTAAATTCCTTATCTCCTGTTTTCCACCACCATGCAGGGCTCCTTTTGTCTCATCACGCCCCCTATCCACCACCTTGGCTGACATCATCAGAATTTTTTGATCTCAGCCAATCACAATGCTTTCCCAATGCATTTTACATTAAAAGGCCTGTACGCACATACTAGAAATACCAGAACCACTACATTAAGCTGTAGTTGTTCTGGTGACTATAATGTTCCTTTAAGGCCAAAATAGCTGAATTGTAAAAATCAGCTATGCTTCCATTTCAGCAATTTTGGTGTAACATTTTAAATTCACTTTGAATTCTTGACAATTCTCACTTTTACTGAATAGCCTTGCTGGAGTCCATCCCCCCTCCCCTACTAAGCTCCACGTTTCCACGTTTTTTCACCTATGTGCCCTGCTCTCATTTTAATCTGTAGATGGATAATTTTGTGTGAAGCTAGCCTTTATTAATCAATAATTGTTCCCACTGTTTAATTGCCTACATCTGACAAAGCCTTTCTGTGATACTCCTGATATTTATTTTCTCCCTTGTCACATATTGTCTCATTGCTTTTTTTACCTATTAGAGTGTAAGCTCACAGGTCGGTTTAACATAGCACTTTGTATAAGTGGGCAGGTCTCTCTGTTCTCTGCTCTGTTGTATAATTACATAGTCCTTTGTCTGTATGGTTACCCATGATTTGTAAGGTTAAGAGCTGTAAGTTATTGAAGAGTACTATATATTTTTGGTACATATGCTTGCTTCTGTAAATGCAGTGTTAACAAAGGCAAAGTATGGCATTTTTTCTTGTTATCATCCAAAGTTCAGGTGGTATAAGGTTTCACCATGGTGGGACCACACAAACAGACCATATACAATGATACAACAATGTGAAAAGGTAATAGATATATTCTCCAGTAATCCGCATTGCGGAGAGATCTGCAAATTCTTTCCACCTTTACTAATTAATAAAAAAAAAAATACATCTTAATACATTTACAAACAGTCTTATAACCCTATTGTATTTTAATGAAGACGTGTTTAAATGTTTAACACAGCTCTGTTGTGTTTTTATTTCATACAATGTCTTTTATAGTAATCTACTTATCTTAAAGGGACACTATAGTCACCCAGACCACTTCATATCATTGAAGTGGTGCGGTGCAGTGTCCCTGTCCCACTTAGCCGTGCAAGGTAAATCATGGCAGTTTTTTTACATTGCAGGACTAAGACTGCCTCTAGTGGCTGTCAATCAGACAGCCACTAGAGGCACTTCCTGGTGGCTAAATGACGCTGGACGTCCTAGCTCTCTGCATGAGAACATCCAGCGTCAGCAAGCTTTACTCTGGTGAGGGCCTAATGCATTCAGCACTCACTGCACATGCTCATTAGAACTCCCATCGGAGGGCCTGTCCCAGCACTGAGGGAGATTGGTGCTAAAATCAGGTGGGTGCACAAAGGGTTTTATCTTAACCCTTTACGAGCCAGAGTGGTAAACAGAGTGCTTTATAGTGTAATTCCGAGATTTTCAATCCAGTCCTCAAGGCATGTCTACCAGTCCAGGATTTAGGGATTACCTAGTTGTATCTAAGGTGTTTAAAAAAAAAACAACAAAAAAAACACTTTGACACAACTGGGTAATCCCTAAATCCTGGACTGGTAGGCGTGCCTTGTTTGTATTCCTTACACCATAGAATCCCTTTAATAATATATAATAGATTCAACCTGTACATCCTTACAGTTGGAGGGTGTTTTGTTTATAAGAAACAGCAATGTCCGTGTTTATTGTGTTTTACGCCCAGCATCTGCATGCAAAGTATGCTGACACCACATGCTGCGTACATCCAACGCTAAATTAATTACGTCAATGTGTGCTTTGTGTGTCCTCAATGCGTGTCTGTGAGAGGCATCGGTATGGACAAAAAAACTTCTGAATTGATTGCTTCGCTGGAGGTGAAACTGAGCTGCAGTGAGGATTACAGATAACATTTGTGGCTATTTTAAATTTGTCTTTTATGTTTTTAACGGGGTGGACATAACTCTAATCAAGTAAAGGAACACATGTAATAAATATAAGTGAGTGTATAAATGTTATATATGTGTATATTATACATACAGAATTTGTGCCCAGCACTCGAATTATACTGCTAAGCTTGGTGCCTGAGTGCTAAAACTCCGACCAGCAATGTAGATATGATTGAAAATGCACTTGTAGGACTCACGTTTTTGTATTTGTTATCATTCCTTTAAGCATTCTCCCTACCTGTAACTTGACTGTTGGCTAAACGTGGGCTGAACTCAGCCATCAATCACACAGCAGTGGGAGCCAATTAGACCCTGATGGGGTTATCCACTAAAGACCAGATTTTGTCCGGACAGAATTTGTTCAGCCCAAGTGATTCTGCATCAGTTGCCCGGGTGAATTCAGTGACCGGATTAAAAGCGATGCCTCCGCATCCAAAACTTATATAAAGTATCGGATCCATTAAATTCACAAAGCACCAGTTTTACTAAAATCCGAAATCAAACGTATTTGGCAGGATGCACATTCACAAATGATCATACACTTGCTTTTTCTGTGGCTACATTAAAAAAGTAAAAGTAAATAATCAAAAAGTCTAAGGGGTTAATTAATAAGACCCCCATATTACTATAAAAGAGCCGGGAAATATCCATTTAATGTTTAAATCTAGCGACTCTGCAAACATCCTCAGTGCCGCCTCCCCCCAGTCTTTCTTTGTGATAAATGATTCACTAGGACAATGTAAGCTGTTAGTGAGAATTGTGTATGAACCATGACAGTAACATAACTAAGGTGTTTTACTAGGGGTTTAGCCAGCTATATGTCAGGATATTTTTCCTTCATGTCCTTTAAATTGTTACTCCAACCCTTTAAAGAAATTTAAAAAAATAGTTCTGCAATTTACAATGCTCTGTGGGACATTACTATTGGGTCCCCCCTGCCCTTAAAACCTGTGAAAATAAGTTTTACTTGGCTGACGCTAATCTGCGTCCTGTCCTGATATCTTCCCGTCATCCTATCACAGGCTTCTCATAGAGAACTGTTTCGCCAGCTCAGAGTGCATACGCGCTTTCTGAGCCGAATATTTTTACATCTGTGGCCATCGTGCAACTAGCCCATGACTATTAAAAGTCACTCTGGATGTGCAGTGTTTCAATCTGAAACACTGCACATTCAGACTCCTACAACCATGACCACTTCAAAAAGCAGAAGTGGCCATGCTGGCTGGAATAACCCTTTAAGAAAAATTCAGTTCCCTTATTTCATCCCTTGGAGCCTCTGGGGCCTGAATTATCCGTAATGTTTCCTTCTTTAATAGTTGAGGTCCAGGCTGCCATTGGGTTCAAGATTCACATGAGATCCTGTGTCTCCAAGCGTTTCTGCTGTGTATTTAAAAACATTTTTAAAAAAGAATTCTGTTGCTTGCTGTTCAGATTAATGTGGATCTGTTCTTTGTATCCGTGCTCTTGTTTGTTTGTTTTTGC